TAGGAAATCTAAATCTACCCAGGATAAACCAAGTTATCGGATCAGTAACTATAACAGATGGGAGTGTCAGCCCGATCTAATTGATTTGACTGCGTCAACTCGATTGTACGCCTTATATGCCGTGATAGGAATTCGAATTGGTTTGTCAAAAAAATTATAAATTAAGAAAATGACACTGATTACAAACTCTCGCTAGTGAAGACCAAACTATGGAATATTTACCAACTCGGCAATGAAATTAAGCTCCAATCAATATTCAGAAATGATGCGTCTACAAATAAAGGAGATAAAGACGTGCGTAGAGCTGTTGACTAATTTTGGTTTCAAGACCGAAATCAACTTCTAAGTATCGTCTTAAAGGCCATGTACACCCTGTCTACAGCGTACTGCCGCTTAAGGAGCTATTGCAGTAACTGACTGTACGCTAACGACATCGAACTCGTAATATTTGTAATATATTAGAGAAACAAATGGTTTCATGAGGTAAGCAACTATAACAAAAAATGAAGTAGACGTATATTACCTACTATTATTACCGTCCAGCTTGAGCATAACTCAGGATGATTTAGATGAACTAAAGTGACTAGACGGATATTTCGATTAAATCAACTGATCAAGAAAACTCGAATGGTGCATCTCGGAGCTATAGGAATCGGATCATGAAAATCAAGTTCTAAAATTTTTTAAGTATTGCAAAGTGAGATAAACTAATAATAAATGTGATAACTCAATCCTTCCAGTACCTCAATAGACCACGACATCCAACGTTCATTTTTAATTAAATATTCTCATTCGACCCTCTCCTCTTTTATTCCATTAAGTTAAAACCTTTCCAAAGCGAATTTGTTTAAAATTAATTTACCAATATGGTGGGCAAAGACTACGAAAAAGGAATATGATGTGATACGTACCAATTTGATTGCTTGCGTCAGTATTGCCATTGGTTTTGTGTAAATCAGCTGCAAAACAATACACATTAAGTAGACTATGTTTAGTATGACCAAAGTATACAAATGTTTTGCAATACCACATATCGATTGTGCGAGATTTGACGTGGAAAGAGCTAAGAATTAAAAAAATTGAAAGTGATCATGGAGTTCAATAAGAAGAAAGATTAAGTATTTTACCATACTCACTCGTTTGACTAGTTTCAATGTTTGTAACATTCTGGTCCTTGAAATTGAGACATTGTTAATCGATATTAAATTTTGGAATCACATAACAAAGAACTTTATCAAAATTTCAGAGTTTTTAATCAATCGTAAAGAAATAAAGCCATTGAATGGCTGCAAAATATTATAGGTAAATACCAGCGCAATTATTTATACAGCAATATAAAAAACCGGATAAAAGGAAATTATATAAACACCGCCGAAATATTTCCAACTGGTTCAATAAAATTGCAACGAATGTACATAAAAATAAAAAATACATACCTGGATAGTAAGATCAAGTAAATGAACCGTTAATAAATGAAGAGCCAAGCTTTCTTGATTTGGGAATGTCACTCCACACACAAGACAAATGCATTTAGATGTGGCTAAATCTATAACTAATTTCAAAAGAATACTAGTTTTAAGACGCAGTTAAATTAGCTGTTATTCAAATATTACTAAACAATGTGTACCATTCATAAAGAAATTCATGACACTGTGATAAAAACTCGTGATTACGCTAAATCAACTCAGTTAACGAGGGTTTTAAGAAGGTGCTTACTCTAACCTTGAAAATTTACAAACACTTAAACTAAGTATATATTCAGAATTTATAAAATATTGTTTCGGTTGTATTTAATTATGCACTTTGATGAAAAATATTTATAAATTGATAATTGCTATCAGAATTTTACTTATTTTAATTTATTGATAAAACTTGTTTATTCCTAAAACATATTGTTTCAAAATTTTGTTATTACTTAACCAAGCTCTTGATTTGCTTAAAATATTTTATATTAGAACAACTCCTAAACAAAAGTGATACACTTTATATATCACTTCATTTAGGCATTAACTATTAGTTCTTAAGAATTGATAATGCAATGAAATGTTCTCGATGAAGAATGAACGTTATGCGTCTATCTAGGTTTCTATTTCAGCTTAGATATCCTAAGACCGAAAATCCAATAAATTATATTGAAATACTGGGTTTTAGATGGTGTGTACTATAGGTAAACTGTAAATTTTAAATAGTCAATTCAAACAGATTGATATTTTTCACTATCAATATATTGACATAAAATCGATTTTCCTTTGTACACATATTTTTACGATGCGTACTGAATTTAATATAAGGTCAATTTCAACTATTAATAAATTCATATGTCTTTAAGCAATATTCTTTTACGATAATTATATAAAGTTAATCTGAACTTAGTTTTTAAATTGTTGATAACAATGGGCAACTAAATTCTAGCAAGTACTGAATTATATCTGGGCTGAAGTGTTGAGAATTCAAAAACACAATATAGTTGTTTACTGCCTCCCAATGAACCAATCTCCATTAATAACGATAAAAGAGTGCATTTTCATTCCTATCCTAATATAAATTAAAAAAATATAACTCTATTAGCTCTTCTAAATCAAAGCCCGCAAAGCATTTTTACCATTAAGTATCGAGAAGGTGTCATAAAGAGTTGACAGAGGAGTGCAATTGGTTTTCAATGCCCCCTTAAACCTGTGGAATGGTCAGTAAATAACCGGTTAGTTCCTGATAATCTCGTATATTAACTAGATTGTTTTAATATCCAGCAAGTCGTCAGGGTAAAAATAACATGACTTTCTGTGTATAATGTGTTCATGGTTAACAATATGACGTAACATCCATTGTTTGGTATCAAAAATGCCAAATAGGGCACGTAAAGCAGAGGGGAATGCCGATAAGACATTTGAGTTGAAAGTGCTGACAGAAGAAATGGGAAATGGCATTTTTAACGCAAACAAAGTGGAGGGAAGTAAGATTGTGCAGCAACGTATGCTCCCTGGGATTGACAAGTGAATTAAATTTTGAGGGAAAATCAGCACCAAAAATAATCTTTTGGTAATCTGCAATATGGTAACCAAATCAAAACTCATGACGAAGTACTAAATCTAGAGCCACGATTTTTTTGCCATGCGCACTTAAGTTGGTACTCTTTGCGCCGGAAATGTGAGGCCGCTATGTTGGAGAAGTAGTTTGTCTACAGATTGAAGGATAACCATGACTTTAGAGCATATAATTCTTTCTTTCACAAGGGGTCTTGCTGAAAACGTCAGATTGCTGCGAGATGGTGCCAACGGGATCTGAAATTCTAACTGCAATAATTACTGTCCTATCATAAAGTTAATGGATATGGTCCGTCAATTCAGCTATTTTGTCTAGATTGCTATGCAGAATGATGGTGTCTAGATATACCACCGCATTCACAGGGTCACACGTCATACACAGCCCCTCCTCGAATCTTATTAATCAAATCGATTTCACAAGCTAAGAAATACACATGGCGTAAAAGTTAATTGAGTAAATCCAAAATAATTAAAATTAAAGGTTTAATAATTATTACTAAAGATCAGAACCGTTTTTAGTTCTATATACAACAGATGAGCTAAATGTCGCAAGCCAATTCCAACTTAATAAAATCAAGATTAGAGTTAGATAAATAATTTGGACAGTAATTTGTGAGATTGATTCATTTTTTCTTTCCTTTAACAACGGTGAAAATAATGTTCATATACGGGCACACAACTTCACCGTCAAACAGGTTATCTTATTCACACCCAGATTGACTTAAAGGTTCGGCGACAACTTCGCGCAGAGGGCAAGTGCGGTCATGAACACGCCAACCGTCAGTCAATAGACCTAACTTGGTTTATCAAATTGTCATATTAATATAACGACTAAGCTCATTGTCAGGATACACGCCTACTCACACATCCTGAATAAATGTATTCCTAACGGTACGGTAGCTTAGTCAATTCTGGGAATCTTTCCAAACATTGAAGAATTTGCCGAAGAGATTTCTGGGTATAGTTAAAGCTTATTAGTGGAGCAATCCGTCACACGTTTACGTGTAGTCTGTTGGTGGGTTTGTGGCAGAAACTAGTTTTAAATTGGAATAAAATAGGTCAAGAAAACATTACATATGCAATTTTACAGTACGTGTACCTCAAAATGAATGCTAAGACTACAACTAAAATATCAGAAAAAGTGAATTTTACCTCTTAGCATAAGCTTTATTTGTAAAACATAATGTGCAAAGGTTTTATCATGATTCGTAATGAACCAATAAAATTATCAGTACTGTATGGTATCGTAAAACAGAGGTGTAAAACTTAGAAAACTAATGATAAATAGGTTTTGTGGGGAAAGTATCGAAATAATTTAGTTAAACGTAACAGATTTAATCAATATGATACTGAATAAAGCATTTATTCTGATGTCATATGTGACATGCGAAAAAACAACTCGACTCCTGGGGGATAGTAATTGCATTTTAAATATCATAAAAATCTCCCATATTCAGTTAGATATCGATAAAAGCTTGGAATAGTTAACTTCCATATGCCATGAACAGGTATTTAGAGGAGCTGGAATTTTATCAATCAGATTTTATATATGATAGAAAATCTGCATCATCAATAGAGAGTATAGCTTTATTTAACTTAAAGACAAACTAGCATTCGGGCATTTTCCATTAATATGATAGGGTGAAAAAAGTTGAAGGCTACTTTAGTAACTTACCAAACGTTTAACTACTTTAATTTAAATGGCTAGGAATAATATTATAATAAAGCGCTCAGCTTTTACCATAAATCATACAAATTTAAAAATTTGTTGAAATTACATTCGTGAAAAAATTTATTCAGTAATAGCGGTATGTTTTATTTATTTGTTTATCATTATTCCGATTCACCCGCCTCTTCTATCTAACGATTATCTCTGGTTAGCTTTCTTTATACCGTGTGGATTTTCTTTACTTGAAAGATTTTACATTAAAGCTTTTATTTCAGACCGCCTTTGTATTAATGCAAAATCGTCAACACGCTCCATTTACTCCATCTCGATTCAATAATCCAGCCAACATCAGAAGTAGCTTTTTTGCGTTAGATTATATGTAATGTCTTTAGACTTGCTTGATGACTCTTGGCTACGATTTCAAATTGAGTTAGAGTTTGTTCAGTCTCTTGGAAATCCTGACTATCTTACATGTATGTTGCCTTATTTCGACTTGCTATGTCCTATTTAGTTCTTTCTCAACAGGGATGTTTTGAGAAGCCCGAGTTTATTAATTACTTATCATACCTTCAATACTGGAAGTCTCCACAGTACTCAAGGTTCATCTCGTAAGTTCTGTCAATTAGTAAAACTATTTTTCAAGGTATCCATTTTGTTTGCATATGCTGGATTTACTACAATCTCCTGAGTTCCGAAGAGGAATTGCTCATGAATCATTGGCCCGTTATATTGATGATCAAATGCTTCTTCATTGGAGGAACTACCTTCACAAACGATCTGAAATGGTGGCCAAACACGTACAATCTATTGATCCATTAACTGGCACACCCGTTCAAGGCCCATCTAGTTGATGGCAATAATTTTTATATCCAATTTTTGTTTGCAATATTGTATAAATGCTTGTATATAATGCTTATTTTCTGAACTATAGCTTTTTTTCTCAACCTTTCAATATCAGGCTACTAAATGTTTAAAGCTCAGTTGTCATCCATAGCTACCTGTCACACTGTATTTTACTTGTGGCATTCAGTGTCGATATAGTATCGTATATTGCTTGTTGAGATAGAGGCCTAATTTTTCCTTCTGCTTGATAGTATTGTGACTGTATGCGGATTTGACGGATATTCCACCTTTCTTCTATGTCATGCTTCTCTTGGTTTTGAAGTGAATCAGTTGGAACTGATGTGCGAATAAGATGTCCAAACTTTAAAAACGGTTGTGAGTAATATGATATCTAACTTTGTTGCTAGTATACCTTTTCCTTGGCTATTATGCGTTTGCCTAAGTGCTTGAATATTTGTGCCTTTAGTGGTGCTCTTTTCGATCTTGTGATTATAAACATTCTCATTGCATTTCAGGCTTTCCAGAACCTCTACGTTTAAATTCTGGATGCCCTTTAGTCCATATTTAGCCCTTCTATTTGTAGATTATTTTTTTAATTTTTCAGAGGCATATTTGCATTTGGAAAGTTTAGGGACTCGAAATTAGAAAGTTGACAAGATCGTGCTACTTCGAATGTGCGTATGGGGCTAAGGAAAAGAACTGAGGTTTCCTTTATTCTGTCAACTTTTTGAGTGAATTAATTGAGACTGACGGAGATCTTATTTACCCAAATAAGATTTGCGCACACTTTTATTAGTTGCATTTGTTTTTTTGCATCCAAAATAGAAGACAAACAAATCCACAATTGGATCGAATTCAAACACCTTGGATTTCCCAAAAGTTTTGAAAATGATCATCATACTTTACTGAATTAGTATCAGTAGTTATTATTTTAAACGAATTATTATAAGTTGGGACAGAAAAGGTTCAATCATACACGCTGAAGGAAGTCTTGTCGAAGCTCATATCATATTTCTTCGAAAAAATATGCGATAGAAGGTTTGATTCATAGACATCGACAAAAAATGCTGAAAAGAAATGAGGAATACTAATGGTGTCATTAGAAATCAAGCAGGAATTTACCAATAATCATTTTTGCTCTGTAACCTTATTCAACTTTGGTATGCATGCCTCAATTTTTAAAAAGTGTTTATACCGAAAATACAATCGATCGTTTCATGGGAGCCAACACTGCGGTCATTTATATAAATAAGCAATTTCTTATTCTTTAGGTGGCAAAAGAATTACACATAGGATATTCCATCTTTTTATTTTTTATAATCACCTTTGGTTTATTTCAAATGTGGGGCAAACGATGCCACCATGGCTAAACAAAGAAATCTCAGCGCGTTCAATTACTCCAGAAAGCACGGCAGTGCTACTGATCTGGTAGGGAGGAAGCCCAGTTGAGATCACAGAGGCTTCTCAGCCGACAAGGAATCAATAGTTGCTGTAATTGACGCTAATCATTCCATCAACTCTATTTTCTCAATTATAGGGTGTGCAATAGACTAACCTCCACGTGGTGCACCCTGGGCGACGTATTCTCATAGGGCAAAAAAGTCTATAAACTGGCAGTTCACTTCTGACTTCAAACTACCATGACCCCACAGTATGTCATATTCGATTACTTCCACAGTGCTCATCTTACCTTTTCTCTGCCTTTGTGACTGTCTGTCTCTCACATCTGTGAATCACTCTTCCGTTCCACCTCTCAAATTTTTTTCCACTTTGAGGTTTCTCCCCCCTGTGAAACCCGAAGTCAGCTAAAGGACTAATGACAACTATCCAAACGCCTGCCATTAGAAATGAATTAATGATTCCAAAGTGGTGATTATTTTGTCATAAGCTCATTAAACGTAATAATTACTCCGATCCGAAACCTTTGTAAGACAGGAATAATGGTCTGTAGACGTCAAGTTCATTGCAAGACGGACTACAAAAGCATAATTAACAAATAGTTAACAAATAACCTGGACTTAAAATGATCCTACAGTTTGGCACACTATTTTGTAATGTAAGTAGAAGATCATACTAATTTCCAGACTGGGGTCGGAAAGTCAAGTCGTGTCATTGCCTGACAGTTAAGCGGTAGGTATTGGCATAAACTATGGACTTACGGTGTGTGCCAACGATCAATTATGTCATAACTTACTCAACAGATGCTTAGTTACCGGTACCAAGTGTAATACTGTCTGCAATGCTGTTGTCAACTATCAATCATTTTACTTGCATATTGAACACCATCACCTTTCAGATATAACTAGGTCTTTGAGTTCTTTCTAAAGTGGCAGTTTTAACGAATTTACTCTAAGCCACGTTTACATCGGTTCCACCTTTAACTTTTATGTTTTAATTAAAACAATAATACCAATAAATCCTGAAAATATATAACTTATTCCTCTTTAGCCTTGTAACCAAAGTATTTTCGACCTTTTATCAGCCCTTGTGTCTATCTGTCTCTTTTACATCTTTGAATCACTTTTCTATTCCCCTTCTCCACTTTTTCTCACTTCGATGTTCCTTCCCCTCTGTGAAGCCCGAAGTCAGTTAAAGGGCTAATGATAAGTATCATAAAACCCACCATTTGAAATAAATAAATTTTCTCAATTATATTGGGGTGTCTTAGCTAATTCAGAAATCAGATAAGTGAACTTTAATGAGGGCTTAACCATGTGGAGTACGTCATAAATGTAACAAGATGCAAGTATTTCGCGCCAATTTTCCACTATATTCCATATGTAGCTAATATTAAAATTGTAGCTATCAAGTTGATATTTTTTCTTGCTTCTACATTCTGAACTTTAGAAGTATATTAAATCTAACCTCAACAACTTCCGATATCTTAACGTCACGGATAAATGTCACTCCACCAATGAGGCTGACCTTAAAATATGCGTGTCTTCTTTGGTCCTTTTTGTTATAGTACATTTTATCACTGCAATAGCGAAAAAAACGAATTTCTGCATAACCGAGTGTATGAAATAGCGATTCAATTAAGTCACCTTCCAAACCCCGATGAGTGCATATAGTTCGCCAAATTTTGTCAATTTTTTAGACTTTTAAAACTTTCGGTCCTGTTAATACTTCTCGCCAGTGTTACCCGATAATTTATTGATTTTTAAAAGCTACTTATTTCACCATAACGACCATCATAAACTAAAAGAAAACTGCTTCTTATTCGAACATCATGATGCTACATTAATAACAAAGCGAACTTAATAACAAAGGAAAATTTTTGAATGGGTTAGCTCTTTAAGGGAAATTACATCAAATAATTGTTAAAAATGACTCATTTAAAATCCAGTTACCATTCAGGGGTCAGAAGGACGACATTTGAAATTAACTAGTTGTGCATTGGACGCTTGCAGGAAAAGGAGAGTTGAAGATGCCCACAAGTAAATCAAGATTGCTTGATCACGGAAATAAATGGTAGGGTCCACGGGTTTTGACTATTGTGAGCATAAACTTGCCCATATATTGGAGAGTTCACTGATTCAGATGGAATATGTATGACAATACAAATTGGACTCTTTCCACGTTGAATATCCGCATAGACCAATGCTGCTGATTTCAAAATGTGCACCTTTTTTGAACTGAATTGATTGGCCACCTATTTTGAACCCAACATTTGTTTATTTACTTACTTTTATATCATTGAAGTGTAAAATTCGTTTTTTGCTGTGTCAACAAAACTTGCAGAAATAACAGACAGGGATATTTGTGAGAAATGGGCATGAGCTGAACATAAAAAGCCAAATACCCTGGGGTTCCCACAATTTTGGCATGAAGAGTAAATAAAATCAATAATGAAAAAATTTACCTCAAGGCTTAATTTAAAAATTTTCATTGTAAATTTCAATAGGTCTTTCAATCCACCATTTACACAGAAAGCGTGGTGGGCATCAAAATTTCCATGAATTAGTTTAAAACTACTTAAGTTAAAGGTGAGATAAGAAAAGTTAATTTAAATAGAGCCTATTTTGGACTATTTTTTGAAAAAAAGAGAGAGAGAGAGAAGAACTTGAGCATTTTTACGATTAGGATCAAAGAAATCCGCATTCCACTCACTCCTCAAAACTATCACCTATTTTAACGGAATTTGGGGTGCGCGATAGACTTGCCTCCACGTGGTGCACCCTGGGCAACGTATATTCATACGGCAAAAAGTCTATAAACCGGCAGTTGACTTCTGACTTCAAACTACCATGACCCCACTTTGTGTCATATTCGACCACTTTCGCAGTACTCACCTTACCTTTTATCTGCCCTCGTGCCTATCTGGTATCTGGGAAAAGGTCTGGAATGAAAGAATGGCGAGCATTGAATAGAAGCATTATCAGTGGATGTAGAGTTGGATTTCATATATTCCTATTTTTCAAATTGCTATAACAAAATTGTGAGAAATAAATAAATTTTCAATTGTTCATTAAATTTGAATAGTGTTAATAACAGTAACTACATCCTACTCAGTATTTCTTACCAGAAGGCCAATAGTCTGAAATAGTGGAAGAATTCTGTTTTATGACCGACAGATGGTCTTTTGATCTTCGCAATCTATTTTCATCGATTCCTGGAAAATCTGTTCATATTGTATTTACCCATTAGTTAGACCAATAAATTAGCCATGGCGATAAACAAATAAATAACATATGATGCGCTTGTAAATTACTATATTTAAATAAAAATAACAA